TATATATATATATATATATGTATACCAGAGGGGCATCCTTTTTTATTCTTCTTCATCGCTGACTGAAACTGGCAGATGATAGACCAGTGTCCTTTCACCATCCGCACTTTATTTGGAAGGAAGCAGGGGATGTCCACCCTGGAAAACAGTGACTGGCGACATCTGACTTCTGTGGATGGGACTTCTCTAGAAGCTGTTCCCTGGCGCTTCTGTGACAGCTGTAAACCAAAGCGGAGCTGGTGGCTCTCAGGAGCCTCGCCTTACAGCATCTAGTCCCCGCCTGTCGTCCAGGACCACACCCTCCTGTCACTTCTGGTCCACCCCCTGGTAGAGCTCCCGGGGGACACATCTTTATTCTGTTCGGGGAAACCAGACGCGACATGTCCACATATGTGTTTGTGTAAGTAAACGTCCAGCACCACATCACCCACGGGAGCCACGGGCCGTTCAGGAAACGCCTGCCTTCATCTTTGTTCTTTGTTGCCTTAAGTGCTGCAGAGAGAGGTCACGACAGAAAATGTGCACTATCCGTTTACAGCTCTACGTGGTTTTATGTTGTTTTCTCCCCCAAAGAGAAAACCTGCCTGTCCTGTTTCTGACCCTGCTTCCCTCGAGTCGAGCAGGTAGACCTTTCCTGACCCCACGATTGCCCACCCATCTCCCTCCACCTGCCCTCCCCTGCACGCACCACACACCGGCCAGGGAAGGCTGCCGGGACCTGGCTCTTCACGCGGGCTCGCAGGCTTTGTGCGCCGCCTCCAGTGGGCCCCGGGGATTGTTTGCACAGGGAAGCGTAGAGTGCCTACCAGCTAGAACACAGGGCGAGCAAGCCTGCTGGGCTGTCCCTCCCAGGCTGCAGTGGGAGCCCCTCCCCTCCCGGTCCTCCTCCCGGCTGCTCATAGGGACCAGGCGGAAGACTGACACCGGGACTCAGGGACTGGCAGGTGCAGCTCGGAGCCTCTCATTTCCCGCGGAGATGAGTCCGCGCCAAAGCTTCAGAGCCGGCTGCCCTGCCACGGGAGACCAGACAGTGCCCGGCGCAGTGACAGCTGCTGCTGTCCGCTCCCTGCTTTCTGACCACCATCACTGTGCAACTC